CAGAGGCAGAGGCAGCTTCACTCCTCTCTGGAAGATTACCCCAGTGGCCCAAGAACTGCCCTCCAATTCCCACTGGAGCCACAGCTTGTCCCACATGGAGAGAGCCAGAGCATGGCCTTACCTGATCCAGTTCCCACCTGGCTTTGCTCAACCACCCACCCTGGTAGATTAACACAAGTAACAGAAGAAACTTTTAGGAACTCTATGGCTCCGCCCATTCCCTGAGACACTGGAGCACCTCCCATGGGTCACATAAGGCAAGTCCAAATCTCACCACTACCACCGCAGCTGGCAGTCTTTCACAAGTGCCACCTCCTGGCTGAAGGCCAGCTGACACAGTCCATTACCACATATGCAGTAGAATAACATAGCACCCAGGAAGGAGAAAATTTGTGAGTGGCCACAGCTGTTACCATTGCCTGCATCACTCTGGCTAACCCGGAGGCCCTGAGTCTGTCCATATGATGAGTTCATTACTACTACAACTGGCATTTGAGAAATTCAACACACTAGGGCTATGTGCAACCAAGGAACCTCTCAGAGTCTACATGACTCACCTGCCACCCCGATCTGATCAGCTGCTGATACACACTGCTGGGAGACTAGAGGACAGATTACATCACTGGATCCGTTGCAGACATTCTCCAGCACTGGCCTCCTGGGTGGCAGCCCCACTGGGTGGCTAGTTCCAGAGGAACAGCAGCATTCACAGTCGTCTGGATTTCAGGGACTCCTACTCCGAGGAAAGAGGAAGTGCACCACATCAAGGAAGCACCCTGGGGAACAAAATAATATGGACAGTCTTGAGTCCCAGAACACTCCACTGTGGGAAGTTGTTAGTTTTCATTTTTGTTTTCCAGCAGAGGAACATGTGCATGCTTGGCTCAGCAAGGAAAGTCTGTGGCTATACCCCAGCAGTCGGGCAGCCTTGATGCTCAAGAAGGGTCTTGGAGAACAGAGACTTATTTTCCATCTCATTCACTACTGCAGACACAGCAGTACTGTGTCCAGAGCCAGCACACAGAGGTGAGCAGCCATACAAGCTACGGAGACGCCAGCCAGGGCGGCTAAAGGAATGCTTGCATTACCTCTCCCGCAACCCCAGACAGCACAGCTTGCAGCTCCAGAAGATACCCCTTCCGTCTGTTAGGGGAGATTAGAAGAAAGAATAAAAAGGATCTTGTCTTGCATCTTGGAGGTCAGCTGAGCCACAGCAGGACAGGGCACTGATCAGTGTCATGAGGTTCCCTTTGCAGACACTTGCTCCTGGATGACACTTCTAGACACTTCCTGGGCCAGAAAGAAACCTGCTGCCCTGAAAGAAAGGACCCAGTACTGGCAGGGTTTATAATCTAGTAACTAAAAAGCCCATGGGCCCTGAAGAACCAACAGCAGTATCCAGCTAGCATGCTGTGGGCCTTGGGTGAGACTCAGAAACATGGGGGCACCAGCTGACTGCAGCTGAGAATCAGCGCATTCCCAGCTGCGGTGGCTGTGGATAGAGAATCCTGCTTGAGCAAAGCAGAGGGAAATGTAAAAGTGACTTCGTTGTACACTTTAGGTAACAACTCTGCCACAGAATAGTAGTGCACAAAGCAGGCTCTCGGGATCCTGGATTTCAG